GGCCCTCCCATGTGCGTGGGGTTTCTGTCCCTGCCTGATTGTCCACCCTTGGATGTTTCCTGGGGTTTGTGCTTCAGCTCTTTTGTCCTGCCTCTCCCCAGTCGTTTTCCTGGCATCTCCTTTGGTCGGTTTTGCCGGCACTTGCTGCTGTTTTTTTTTTTGGGGGGGGGGGGAGGGTGAGTTTCTGCCGCTTCCTTTCCTTGTGCATTTCCTTTGTCTCCTCCTCTGCTGCAGGGGTGTTCTGCGTGCGTTCCTTGGCTTCTTGGGCGTTCTTTTAGCCTGTGTCCTGTGGTGCGCTTATTTGTCTTGGTCTGTGGCCGTTGCTCGTACCCCTTGGTTCAGGTACTGTTCTGGAGGCAACCCTTCCGCCTTCTTCGGTTTTCCTGGCTTACCTTGCTGGTTGGCTTTTCAGGGTCTTGCGATGTCTCGTGTCGGACCCGTCGTTTCTGAACTCCTGGCGGGCTTGCTTGCTTTGGGAATTTTTCTGTTCGGCAGACGTTCCATCTCCTTGTGCCGCCTGGGTTTCGGTGGTCTCGCCCGAGATCTTCCTGCAGCTCCGCCTCTTCCTGGGCTCGGAGGGGCAGTGTCGGGGCTGCTTATGTTCTGCCTCGCGGTCTCGCCCCCGGTTGGTGGTCGGGTGGCTTCGTGGTAGGTGTCCCACCTGCGTACTTCTTCTTGACGGCAGTATGGGGTATTTTGGCGGTCCTTCCTTTTCCTCCTGTCCCTTCTTAGGTGGCTGCAGTTGTTAGCGTCGGCTTGGTTTTTCTGGTGAGGGTTGGGGGGCCGTCGTCTTGCCACATACTGTCGCCTCTTTTCGTGCGGCGCTGGCGGAGCCGCTTTGGCTTGCTTTTGGTCTTGGTGTTGCTTCTGCACCGTTAGTAAGCTGTCTCGTGCATTGCTCCACCTCCGGCCTGTTCGTGCGCTGCTTGCACCATCCTGGTCTCGGGTCAGCGTGCTCTGTCTTCTCCTCGGTTGGTAGTGCCCCTTCAGTTCCGTGTTTTTTTCGTCGGCTCTTTTTCCTGTTGGCATTTGCCTCTAGGGGGTCAGGTCGCTGGGTTTCTTGCTCCTTCGGTTTTAGCGTTTTGGTTGTTCGGTGGCAGCAGTCTCCATTTTTTCTGGCACGAGATGGGGCTGCTGCATTCTGGAGGGGGTCCTTGGTTTGTTGGTACTTGGTTGGTCGGGCCGGGGGTATGTCGTGTTTTGTGTTCAGTGGCGGCTCTTCGCTGTTATTTGCATGCCACGGCATCTGTGTCCAGGGCGCGTTTTGCTTTGATCCGGTTCCGTTCTTCCCGGTTCGTGGGTGACAGTGTCCTGAGTTGTCAGCTGTGTTCTTGTGGTTCACCTGTGTTCTTCCCCCATGCCCGTGGGGTTCGTGGCTTCGCTGCTCTCGCTGCCGTCTGAGTGACGTGTCCTTGCTGTCATTCGGGCACGGATCTTTGGTGTTCGTACTGGGGCCTTTCTGCTCATTTGTCTCATGTTGTTCCCGGGCCCTTTCGGGGCTGTGGCGCCTTGGGTTGGCGTTTGCTGTCGGTTGTCTCGATTCCGTGGGGGGTGCGTGGTGTCCGCCTCCCGGTTCCGTCTCTTTGACCTTCCTCTGTGGGTTGTTAGCTCCGGGGAGCCGACGGGGCTCCCCCAGAAAACCAGCGTTAAATGCAATGAAACGCCATTTTCTGGGCGAGACCCGGAGGCTCCCCGGCAACTCTCCCTCCCTCCGGTCGGCGGTTTTTCGTGTGTTTTGTCATCCAGTCTCAGAACTGATGGGTGGATAGCCGGCGCTGGAGGTCTGGGGCTTCCCCTTTCCCCTCCTAGGGAGGGGGGGAGCTGTGCAGACAGCGGCGCGGTGACGTGTGACGTCATACTAGTTTGCTTGTTTTCTGTTGGAGAGTTCTATCACTAGTTCGACTTTAGGTAGCAATTTTCACCAGAATAGGGGTTTGTTTTGGAATGCTTACCTTTCTGGATGCTTGACCCGGTCGATGGCAGACATAGAATGCTTCCAACCACACAAGGCTTTCTATAGGCCATTGCATCCCTTGCCTCTCTGAGGGGGCCAGGTTTTGGCTGTGGTCCTCGGTAGTCCCTAGAACTCCATACACATGACTGATGCCAAAGTCTGACATTAGCATATCAGCCTGGTAAAGCTCCAGGGAGCCTCAGGATCTCCCCTAGAAAATGGGGTTTTGTTACATTCAACGCTGTTTTTTTTTAAACTAAAAAAACTCAGAATAACTTCGATGATACGAATAGTAAATGGTGACTTTGTGCATATTCTCAGAACTTAGTTTCTGCAAAAAATAACAGTAAATTAGATGCGAGCTATGATTTGAAAACAGAAGTGGGTGATGTGTGGGTTATTTGTGTGGACTCGCGAGATATGATAACCACATATAAGTTTCTCAAAGAAAATGATAAGCTACGTAAGGACGGTTTATTTAACACACCCCCCATCCATGCAGTAGTGAGATTCCCTTTGATGGCTGTGCACGTGTCAATGAAAAATTAAAATGTGCAAAGATGTTTCGGAGTGCTATTTTAGTCAAGAAATTATACAAAAATTGTCTTTATTGACTAGTGAGAGGCAGAACAAGAGACCATGAGGTATATGACGTGATCACATAGTTAACGAAAAATATTAGAATTTGTAGGTGGTGATCACGTCTCCCCAGATTAAACACCTGCTGGATCGAGCACTAATGGGGGGGGGGGATGAGAGAAGGGTGGTGCTGAGTGACAACTCAGCGATAAGGAGAGACACGACCAAACTCTAAGAAGGCCTAACCCTAACGAGACAGAATGACGGGCAACGCTAACGCCCCCATACACACGCTTCAAATTTTCAAATGTTATTTGGTCATCGGTCAGAAAGATGTTTTCCACGTTACAATACGTAATGATGATATAACGTTATACAAGAACCTTCAATTCAAGCTGGTAAGGGTTGTGCAGGGGGTGGGAGGGGAGTAGTGGTGGGGGTAGGGGTGGATGGGGGTGAGGGTATGGTCATCCTCATTACCTCGCCCATCTCAGTACACCTCAAACCACCACCCCAGATGTGTGTAATGGTGAAGTTCCTGGGATTGATCTAAAATTGCATATATTCATTCAGTAGTGGAAAACACCTACCTGCTACCTCCAGAAGTTATGTTTCCCACATTCAGTAAAAATGTCTACTGACTTTACCTGACTAACTGTTATGAATACTGGGACACGCATGTAAACCCCCACAACGTTGGAGGGGGGAAAGTAAACAGACTTGAGTACTAGATGTAGGGGGAAGGGGGGATGGGGGGCCTGCAGGAGCCTGGGTAAGGTGTGCGGTAACGCTTCATTTAACCTTTAACCTTCAGTTAAGTGTCAAACTCCAAAGAGGATAGCCGCCCACGATGGCTCACTCCTCGCCCAGTCATGCTGGTAAGCCCTGCTATGTGGTCCACTATGCACTCCTCCTTGGTGGTGAGGCTTGAGGGGGGAGAGATGAGGGTGTTAACTGGTTGGGGACGGGGGGAGATGATATATTTACCTTGTTAACACCTCAATGCTTGGAATTTGTATGTTGTGGCCATGGCTCACCTGCCAGCTTTTAGTGGTGGTGTTGGTGGTATGTGGTGTGCCTTGCTATGTGGTTGGGGGGAGGGGGGGGAGCATCTTACGACCCCAGCAGCTAATGCCAACACAGGTCACTCAAGCGTGGGACGCCAAAGGATCCACACGGGCCTAGGCGGCAAAGGGTCCACACGGTGACCTCATGGAGGTACAATTCTCCTATGTGCTCTGCTGGTATGTGCTGAGAACCTCATGTTTATGTGGACATTATATGCTGTTGAGTATACTCTGCTTTAGAAGCGAGCTAGAAGAAACCCATGTGAGAGAGTGAGGGGAGAGACCCACACTGTTTACAGAAAACCAGATACAGCTCATTGAGACGCCAACACAACTATGTCTGATGTGTAACTAATCACCGTCACTGAACACCACCTAAACAAACAGAATTGGATGAGAGAGTTAAACTTTCTTTTCCTTACATAAAACAAACATTCTTTAAGAAAAAATAATGGCTCCCTCCACTCCCACACAAAGACACCGCCTGCTCCCCTCTCCCCCTTTCCCTTCCTTCTCTCTCCATACCCATCTTAAGAGCCTGGTCTCCTTCCCTCTCAGGATAGGGGGGCTCCTCCCTCCTCTACATAACCTACATACTCGCATCTATCTATCCTCACACAGGCTTAACTCTACGGCACATACTCATACATATTCATCTACTATTATTCCTCTCCTCTTCTTCTCTTCAACACTACTCTTTCTGTACCTGCCCACATGACCCACATACCACCACATACCACTCCCCCCACTCCAACATGACCCTCTGTCAAGTGCCGCGTGATCAGACGCCAAGCGCCCGGCACGCACCACACACCCGGGGAACCCCCCCAGAACACTGTGTGACTAGCTACCTGTGCACCACCTGAGCAGGGGGCCTAATTGGCTCACCTGCTCAGGTGTTGCGCGTGGTTCTAGTCGCACTTTACGCTACTTGTGTGAACTTCGTGCACGAGGCTACGAGGTGGCGTACGTGCTGGAACTAAGAATATTGCTAATTATACTAGTCCGTTCACCCCAGAGTCGCCATAGAAAATCGTATTCAACCGCACACTTATGACTGCACGGAACTGCCTGAAGTACCTCCGCAGTAGCTCCACCAGGAGTTCAAGCTGCATACCATGAACACTGGCATAGGTGAGGGCACCATTCCAGTCGGAGATAACCACCGTAACCACCGAACAAGCAGCGTCGGGCAGTTGAAATGACCATCCCTCGTAGCGACGCAAAACGTTCTGAAACCTCCGCGGCAGCAAATTTCATCCCTGCCCAATGAGAACACCGGGCTACACCGGGCGAGCAACCAACAGAGTTTAGTGCTTACAGTATGCCGGCCTTATACTTTCATATCAATAACTTGTGTATACACATCTCGCAGAAGGTGTCCCCGGTTGGTCTTCACGATGGTCGGTCTTGTGGGACAACTTTGGATGCACTGGATTACACTCCTCAACGTCGGAGAAGTCGTGGTGGCGCAATCTAAAAGGACTACATATGGTATCAATGTAGATCACACATTGGGTCAGAATGCAGGCACACTTAAGATGCTTGTGGTAAAGTGATGTGTGAGATGAACAGGTGAATGAGTGCATCATGTGGAGTAGCAGGTGAGCAGTGGGTCTCTAACAGTTGGAGGTGCTGCTGTTGGTCGAGTACCACGTGGGTGGCGTTCGGCAGCTATAAACTAGTTTGAGAAAGAAAAACCGAGTGGCATCTACTGTTTTTGGTTTTTCCTTCTGACTTTCCTTTAAAGCATTTTACTCTTAGATTCTCTGTGGTGACACTTGTGGTTCTCACACAACGTTCACAGAACACTTGTGTATCTCGATATACAGATGACAGAGATAAAACACGATAACAGTGGTACACTTTTCAACAGTCCTGTTGCCTCTGTACGTCCCTCGTGGTATCTCTTACAGTCACTATGTTAAATTTGATGAAATTTCACTAACACAGGATTCCTGCTATTTAAATGATATTTACACTGACTGAGGATGTTGCAACTAATTTGACAGTGTAAGAACTTTGACGATGTGTTGTCTGATGAGTGACAATAGATCACATACATCTGCTATGACTGATTTCCCAAGGCTGGAATATTTGACCCAATATACAAAGCATGTTTTGGTGAGCTTCAGCCTTTGTCTCTGGGACTGGCTAAACAGCGATTGGCTTTTCTGCAGCGTCTGTTTAGTGGGTCGCTGGAGGTTCATCCGTGGTGATGCAGGACGTAATGCCAGGAGTCCCTCCCTGATCTTGGGTCAACCGTTGTCCTGACCGTGTGTGTGTGTGTGCGCATTGCTTGAGGCATAATACTACCATCAGTAGCCTTCCAAGATGGCATTTAACAGAATTGCTGTACTTCCTCTGTCTCTTCACTGGTTTTTGTTTTTATTTTATATATACAAGAGTTCTTACATTCTTGTAAAGCTACTAGCAAGCATAGCATTTCGGGCAGGTCCTTTTCCGGGCTACTTTTCCTCTGGAATACAACCCGCCAAATCGTTTAATAACTAGGTACCCATTCACTGCTGGGTGAACATTGGCTACAGTTAAGGATTGGTGCCTAGTATAAATATAAATTTTATATATATATATATATATATATATATATATATATATATATATATATATATATATATATATATATATATATATATATATATATATATATATATATATATATATATAACTGAAAACTCACCCCAGAAGTGTGTCGAACCCATACTGCCAGGAGCAACGCAACTGGTACGTACAGGACGCCATAATCCGCTTGACCATCATGACCGGACAAAAGAAAGTGATAGCCGAAGCTATTTGAACTACTTCCCCGCCGGCACTCGGATGGTAAACTTGGGCATAGCATTTTATCAAATCACCTCATTCTTTGGGGCACACGTGAGGAACACAAATGCGAACAAGCCTGAATTATCCCCAGGACTATATACAACTGAAAACTCACACCCCAGAAGTGACGAGAACCCATACTGCCAGGAGCAACGCAACTGGTATGTACAGGACGCTTTAATCCTCTTGAACATCACAATCGGACAAGTCGTATGGGTTCGAGTCACTTCTGGGGTGTGAGTTTTCAGTTGCATATAGTCCTAAGGACAATTCAGGCTTGTTCGCATTTGTGTTCCTCACGTGTGCCCCAAAGAATGAGGTGATTTGATAAAATGCTATGCCCAAGTTTACCATCCGAGTGCTGGCCGGGAAGTGGTTCAAATAGCTTCAGCTTTCACTTCCTTTTGTCCGCTTGTGATAGTCAAGTGGATGAAGGCGTCCTGTACATACCAGTTGCGTTGCTCCTGGCAGTATGGGTTCGACACACTTCTGGGGTGAGTTTTCAGTTATATATATATATATATATATATATATATATATATATATATATATATATATATATATATATATATATATATATATAATTTATATTTATAACACCCTTATAAGCAAGGGTGAACACGGGCCGGAGATGATCAGAGCCAGCAGGCAGAGACAGGTCCTCCGTCGGGGAGTGTCACACTCACACACAATACAAACAGGGAACCAGAGGCCAAGAAAGCAGTGCAGGGAGCTACTGCCCAGGAAGGAGCAGTGAGCACCAGACAGTTGCTATAATGGAAGTAATAGTGGGGATAATGGTGAAGGATCCGGAAGGTGTCGTGAAGAAGTGTGAAAGTGAAGGAGGAAGAGTGTGTGTGAGAGTGGAGGAGGAGGAGTGTGTGTGTGTGAGATTGGAGGAGGAGTGTGTGTGTGAGATTGGAGGAGGAGGAGTGTATGTGTGAGAGTGGAGGAGGAGGAGTGTGTGTGTGAGAGTGGAGGAGGAGGAGTGTGTGTGTGAGAGTGGAAGAGGAGGAGGAGGAAGAGTGTGTGTGAGAGTGGAGGAAGAGTGTGTGAGAGAGTGGAGGAGGAGTGTGTGTGTGAGAGTGGAGGAGGAGGAGTGTGTGTGTGTGAGATTGGAGGAGTGTGTGTGTGAGATTGGAGGAGGAGGAGTGTGTGTGTGAGAGTGGAGGAGGAGGAGTGTGTGTGTGAGAGTGGAGGAGGAGGAGTGTGTGTGTGAGAGTGGAGGAGGAGGAGTGTGTGTGTGAGAGTGGAGGAGGAGGAGTGTGTGTGTGAGAGTGGAGGAGGAGGAGGAGGAAGAGTGTGTGTGAGAGTGGAGGAAGAGTGTGTGAGAGAGTGGAGGAGGAGTGTGTGTGTGAGAGTGGAGGAGGAGGAGTGTGTGTGTGTGTGAGATTGGAGGAGGAGGAGTGTGTGTGTGTGAGATTGGAGGAGGAGGAGTGTGTGTGTGCGAGTGGAGGAGGAGGAGGAGGAGGAAGAGTGTGTGTGAGTGGAGGAGGAGGAGGAGGAGGAAGAGTGTGTGTGAGTGGAGGAGGAGGAGAAGGAGGAAGAGTGTGTGTGAGAGTGGAGGAGGAGGAGGAGGAGGAGGAGGAGGAGGAGGAGGAAGAGTGTGTGTGAGAGTGGAGGAGGAGGAGAAGGAGGAAGAGTGTGTGAGAGTGGAGGAGGAGGAGGAGGAGAAGGAGGAAGTGTGTGTGTGAGAGTGGAGGAGGAGAAGGAGGAAGAGTGTGTGTGAGAGTGGAGGAGGAGGAGGAGGAAGAGTGTGTGTGAGAGTGGAGGAGGAGGAGGAGGAGGAAGAGTGTGTGTGAGAGTGGAGGAGGAGGAGGACGAGTGTGTGTGAGAGTGGAGGAGGAGGAGGAGGAGGAGGAGGAGGAGGAAGAGTGTGTGTGAGAGTGGAGAAGGAGGAGGAGGAGGAAGAGTGTGTGTGAGAGTGGAGAAGGAGGAAGAGTGTGTGTGAGAGTGGGGGAGGAGGAAGAGTGTGTGTGATAGTGGGGGAGGAGGAAGAGTGTGTGTGTGAGTGGGGGTGGAGGAAGAGTGTGTGTGAGTGGGGGAGGAGGAAGAGTGTGTGTGAGAGTGGGGGAGGAGGAAGAGTGTGTGAGAGAGTGGGGGAGGAGGAAGAGTGTGTGTGAGAGTGGAGGAGGAGGAGGAGGAAGAGTGTGTGTGTGAGAGTGGAGGAGGAGGAAGAGTGTGTGTGTGAGAGTGGAGGAGGAGGAGGAGGAAGAGTGTGTGTGTGAGAGTGGAGGAGGAGGAGGAGGAAGAGTGTGTGTGAGAGTGGAGGAGGAGGAAGAGTGTGTGTGAGAGTGGAGGAGGAGGAAGAGTGTGTGTGAGAGTGGAGGAGGAGGAAGAGTGTGTGTGAGAGTGGAGGAGGAGGAAGAGTGTGTGTGAGAGTGGAGGAGGAGGAATAGTGTGTGAGAGTGGAGGAGGAGGAGAGTGTGAGGAGGAGGAAGAGTGTGTGTGAGAGTGGAGGAGGAGGAAGAGTGTGTGTGAGAGTGGAGGAGGAGGAAGAGTGTGTGTGAGAGTGGAGGAGGAGGAGGAAGAGTGTGTGTGAGAGTGGAGGAGGAGGAGGAGGAAGAGTGTGTGTGAGAGTGGAGGAGGAGGAGGAAGAGTGTGTGTGAGAGTGGAGGAGGAGGAGGAAGAGTGTGTGTGAGAGTGGAGGAGGAGGAGGAAGAGTGTGTGTGAGAGTGGAGGAGGAGGAGGAAGAGTGTGTGTGAGAGTGGAGGAGGAGGAGGAAGAGTGTGTGTGAGAGTGGAGGAGGAGGAGGAGGAAGAGTGTGTGTGTGAGAGTGGAGGAGGAGGAGGAGGAAGAGTGTGTGTGAGAGTGGAGGAGGAGGAGGAGGAAGAGTGTGTGTGAGAGTGGAGGAGGAGGAGGAGGAAGAGTGTGTGTGAGAGTGGAGGAGGAGGAGGAGGAAGAGTGTGTGTGAGAGTGGAGGAGGAGGAGGAAGAGTGTGTGTGAGAGTGGAGGAGGAGGAGGAGGAAGAGTGTGTGTGAGAGTGGAGGAGGAGGAGGAGGAAGAGTGTGTGTGAGAGTGGAGGAGGAGGAGGAGGAGGAAGAGTGTGTGTGAGAGTGGAGGAGGAGGAGGAGGAGGAAGAGTGTGTGTGAGAGTGGAGGAGGAGGAGGAGGAGGAAGAGTGTGTGTGAGAGTGGAGGAGGAGGAGGAGGAGGAAGAGTGTGTGTGAGAGTGGAGGAGGAGGAGGAGGAGGAAGAGTGTGTGTGAGAGTGGAGGAGGAGGAGGAGGAGGAAGAGTGTGTGTGAGAGTGGAGGAGGAGGAGGAGGAGGAAGAGTGTGTGTGAGAGTGGAGGAGGAGGAGGAGGAGGAAGAGTGTGTGTGAGAGTGGAGGAGGAGGAGGAGGAGGAAGAGTGTGTGTGAGAGTGGAGGAGGAGGAGGAGGAGGAAGAGTGTGTGTGAGAGTGGAGGAGGAGGAGGAGGAGGAAGAGTGTGTGTGAGAGTGGAGGAGGAGGAGGAGGAGGAAGAGTGTGTGTGAGAGTGGAGGAGGAGGAGGAGGAGGAAGAGTGTGTGTGAGAGTGGAGGAGGAGGAGGAGGAAGAGTGTGTGTGAGAGTGGAGGAGGAGGAGGAGGAGGAAGTGTGTGTGTGAGAGTGGAGGAGGAGGAGTGTGTGTGAGAGTGGAGGAGGAGGAGTGTGTGTGAGAGTGGAGGAGGAAGAGTGTGTGTGAGAGTGGAGGAGGAAGAGTGTGTGTGAGAGTGGAGGAGGAAGAGTG